TATATAGCAAACAATTAGATATAAAGAAAAGTTTCTAGATATTGGTTTACTAACTCTAATTATTTTCTCTTAAGTTGCCATTCTTAAAACTTGTTATACTTTTTTTTGCTTTAAATACCAATTAAAATTAAAAAACCCAATCACTAAACATCATCAGCGATATTGTGAAGCAGTTTCGCTTTCTCGTCATAAAGTATTTTTAACCTTTTTAGTTGATTTCTATCTTGATAATTTAATTTCTATAGTAATTCAATTATTTTATTTGTTTATCTTACTAAGAAGAATTGCTTCAAATATGTTAAACTTTTCAAACTACGCAAAACATAAAATAGGTATTAAAAAAATTAACTTTTTTATTTATAAAATAATTTAGCCTAAATAAAACTAAAACTTGCAAACTTTGTTAAATAAAGAATATTTGTTTCCTTTTTAAACAATCATAAGTTGTTACTTTATATAAAAAAACATCGCTTAATTTTTTAAAAACAAATTATAAAAGAGTGATGTTTCGAAAATATTTGTTCTATATGTAATTTATTTAGCTTTAAGTTTTTTCGCGTTTAAAGATATTTTATTTGCCTAATTTTTTGTTTTTGTAATTGTTTCTCATCGGTCCAATTAATCTGTCGCTTTTTTTTTTTTGCTTTTTAAAATGTTTTCAAAACGACTAAAAAATCTGGCCAGCTTTTCGCAACTAAATATTATTTACGTGGTCAGCAATCGAGAGCGATCGCTCCCGCTTCCTGACCAAGCCTGTTCCACTTAGCTAAAATATAACGAAAATCAGGGTAACTTTAAATGTTTAACTTTAGCCAAAAATGTTTTTCTTGCTGTCTGGGTAAGATTGCAATATTACATAATAAATAAAAGACATCTTTTTATTGTAATTAAAATAACTATTTTTAACATACTTTGATGTTTTAATTTTTAATATTTATGGCTATTTTAATAATTTTGGCCAATATCGGCCTTCTCGTAAGAGGCGTGCGATCACAGGCCTTATATGACCACGCATATAGTTCTTTGTTTTAACAACTTGACCATGGCTTTTTACAAATTCTGATAATTAGCGTGTTTAAAAAATGCGCTAAAAAAAAAAACAGCAAATTTAAATGCGATTTTTAATATAATTGATTCCATAATTACAACTAAAGTACCACAAAACTTCCTTAGTACTTTAATACAAATTAATAAAAGGCAATCATTGAAAAAAGTATTTAGATAAGAGTTTAAGGCAAAATGAGTACAGAAGCTATCAAAAAATAATTACAAACCGTTTTATCATGGAAATATAATTTTTGATAAAGAAATTATTTGCTAAAAAAAGAATTACTAAAATCTTGAAACATTCGAATCTGCCAACTATTTCTTATCCCAGTGCATGACATCATTTTTTTTAATGAACGTTGACTTACGTATCTTTATTTATTAAAGAACGTTTAATTTAAGAGATTTATGTCAAATAAATTTCAAATAATTTTTATTCTAGATAATAAGTTATTAAATACATAAATAATGCTTGGTAAATTTATTCAATTTTTATTTTTCAAAAACTTTTTTTTGAAAATAAAAAATTGAATAAACTACACATTTGCAAAGTGCGCGCAAATTAATGATAAATGCACAATAAAAAAAAACTTTAGAAAATGTTTTTAACATGCAAACAAACATTTCACTTTATGGAAAACAAGAAAATTAAAAAAAAAGCATGCAAAATTTTAATTATAATGAATTCATTTGTTTTAAACTTTTAATGTAATTGCTAATAACATAAAACAAACCATACTTAAACATTTATGATCGCATTCTTCAATAAAAGAAAGGAATTGAAATGCTAAAGCACAGTTTCTTTTGAAGTTTTTGCAAAAGCATTCATTTTAAGTAAAATTATAAATGCTTTTGTGGGCGCATGCAAAAACCATGCTAAAACATAATTACTTTTTTTATTTTACTTAAAAGTGACGCTATTGAAAAAAGTAACTATTTTTTGGCGTAATTTTTCAAGTCTCTGATATTGTTTTTCATTTTAAATATGTGTTTTTTTATAATAAACAAAAAACTATTGATCGCAACGAATAAAAAAAAATGCTGAAGTAATGCGTTTGCTTGAGAGCCATGGTCAAGTTGTTAAAACAAAGAACTTTATGCGTGGTCATATAAGTTGTGAGATTGCACACCTCTTAGGAGAAGGCCTGCAATATGTTTTTAATGAACTAATTTTTATTAATCTTTATATTTTTAGCATTCAAAAATGTCTTAAAAATATTTGAAAACTCATCCTGACACAAAAAAAATATTGTATTAAATTTAACTACTTAATTTCTACTCTTCAAGAGGCATTAGAAAAAAATAAATTAAAAAAAACTTTGATTGTTGATGCTTATTAATTCTTTGAAGTACTCAAAACAACATTATTCTATAAATTAAAAAATAAACACTGTAAACCAGTGAAGCGCCATATTGCCCTTAGTATTGAAGAGGAATATTGTTTTAAAAACCACTTTATTTAAGTATCAAAGGAATACCAATTGTATATGGTGTTAATGACTTGAAAAAATTAAATCTATTTGGATGATAGCAGAAAAAATGATACATTAGTTTTAAGATTGCCAACCATGTTGAAAATGGTATAGATCATGGTTATACTATAAAAGAATTTATTGTGAGTCAACATAATGGATATATATACATATGAACAAGTCCAAATTGATTTTGATTTTTCAAGTTAAAAGAGATAATGATAATGTTAAAAAAATCCGTGTCTCAGAACAGAGTACTAATGATATCTACTAAAACCAAGAACCAGCTTGTTGAAAATTCATTTTATCTCATCGGGTGTGAGGAAACTCTGTTCCTTAATAAGTAAAAAATTTAAATTGCTGATAAATTGTTCGGAAAAATTCCAAATGAGGTCTTCTCAATTGATGAGAGTGTATAGAATAAATGATGAAATACTGGTTTCAGCAAGGGGGATATTAATTTCATTCACATTCCAGATATTATAACTCTAATTTTTTGTAAAGTAAAGTGAGTGACTTATGTAGTAAAGTAAGTGAGTGACTTTTGTAAAGTAAAGTAAGTGAGTAAAGAATTATAATGTCTTTAACATTTTTTTTTCTCATAAAATTTGCATTCTATTGAATAAGTTATAAGTTTATTGTCAAAATATTTTAATTAAAATATAATTAAAAATTATATAAAGCAATGCAAAGAAATCTAAACAACTTTTTAGAATAAAAAAATTAAAATTAACATTCAGTTTAATAGAATTCAAAGTTACCCTAAACGCAAGTGTAACTTTGAATCCTCACTTAAAATTTGTTTTCTTAAAAAATATCAAACAAATTAAAAAAATTGATAAAAATCTAGAAAAAAGAGATCACTAGAACACTCTTTATGCAAAAAATATTTGTTATCTGGTTTGTAAAAAAATTTATTTAGAATTAAAACTAGTGCAAAACATTCAATATCACCCGGTATGACTGAACACATGTGTTTAATTTAAACAATCATTATAATTAATTTTTAATTTTATTTAAAGCCTTTGCAATGAAATATTCTAAATAGTAAGGAAAGAAACTAGAACATCACTAGACTAACGTTAAATAAACTGAATAACATGACAAAGATTTTGATTGCATAACTTGGTTCTTTAAAACCGTAAAAATTATATTTTAAATATTTGATCGGACACTGTTCGACCCAAACAAGTTTTGATAAGAAATTTTGTCTGGAACCTTTTAAAAAATTAATTTGAGCCCTGATATATGTATGAGTTGTAGATGCCTGACTAAATGGTTTCTACCTCTGTGTTTTATATGTCAATACAGGCTTGGTCAGGAAGCGGGAGCGATTGCTCTTGATTGCTGACCACAGAAATAATATTTAGATGCGAAAAGCTGTCCAGGTTTTTTAGTCATTTAAATTATCTAGATAGAAATAAACTAAAAAGGTTAAAAATACTGACGAGAAAACGAAACTGCTTCACAATATCGCTAATGATGTTTAGTGAGTGGGCTTTTTAATTTTAATTAGTATTTAAAGCAGAAAAAGGTATAACAAGTTTTTAAAAATGGCAACTTAAGCGATAAAATTAGAGTTAGTAAACCAATACCTAGAAACCAGAGTTCTGGTTATTAAAGACTAACAATGCATATAAATTTCTAGAAACTTCTTATATATTTGTTACATAATTAGTTTTATTAACTTTAATGACTATTAATAACTTCATTGAAAACGCAATTATTTTTGTAAGTCTTTGTTTACAAATTAAATCATAAAAATTGCTTTAGAAGATTACATTAAAAACAGATACACAAAATTACATTTGCAAAAAAAATACATACTTTTTAAATAAAAAATAAAAATATACTAATAAAATTTATAATAAACTTTCAAAATTTTGACAATTTAAATAATATATACTTATAACATTTATTTTTGTAAACAAATAATTATAGTTTATAAGATTTATGGCTTTGCAAATGTGGCTCCGAGAATGAGCCATAATATTGATTATATATTCTTAAAACAATTTATGCTAGAAACCTCATAACATAACAAATCGTAAATACAATTTCTTAAACATTTCAACCGAATACTCTAGAACTTTATTTCGCTTAGTCAGCATATTTTTTGAACCAATAGAATTAGTTTGTTCGTTGATTTGGCATGTTTTTGGTGCTCGCGAATATTCTTTTTATTATCACGCACCATAATGTTTTAAGAACATTCAAGTTTTATATGTTTCCATGTATTTCCGTAAAACAAAATTTTTTTGTTTCGTACATAGACTTAAACTAAATATAATTTCCATGGTCAGTATTTGAGAGCGATTGCTCCCGTTTCCTGACTAAGCCTGTCTATGTTCTTGATTATAACAAAAGAATATTCTGGAGTTTCAAAATTATATATATTAATTTCAAAATACTATTAGTAAAATACATTTAATAATTTTTAATAACCAAAAAATATTAAATGTATTTATAAATAAGTTGCACCTTAATCTTTTTATCATCAACTTGAATTGTCTTGATAGTAAAGTCTACTCCAATAGTACTGGCATGTCGATCAACAAATGTATTAAACTTGAATCGATGAACTATAGCAGTCTTCCCAACTCCAGCATCACCAATAAGAACTATTTTAAACAAGTAGTCAAAATCTGTATCAACAGCATCATTACTACTCAACACAGTTTGCATAACAGCTAACAATTTATTTTTTTACCTATATTGCAAAACATAAATGATTTAGAATTTAAGAATAATTAGCCTTTATATTAATTTTTATATTACTTATGCAATTTGATAAACTTTATATTAGTTTAAATTTGACTAAATTATCAGATTGAAAATAATGATCATTCAAGCCATGTTTAAAAATCATTTGAACATTTTGCAAAAAAAATCCAGAAATGACTTCCGCTATATATGAAATCGTAACTTTACTTTGAGCTAGTGGTTTTCCTTTTTTTTGAAACAAAATTAAAAAACAAACTTATTGCTAAAATAAAAATTTAAATTTGTATGTATGAAAATCTTTTCGGAAATCCAGAAAAATATATTCAGATAAAAAAAACTAACTATTGTTGCATTTTAATTTTAACCATATAGACCAGAGGTTGAACAATATTTCTTAAAAATAATTGTTTTTATTAAAAAATACAGACAGACTCTGAAAAGATCCAATACATCATATAACCTAAAGATGTGACTTGTATTTTTAAATTTTTGCTTTTTTTGGTCATTTAAAAAAAACACACACAAAGGTTCATTTTTGGAGGGAATATTCAAAAAATACATAATTCAAGCATTTAAATTTAACTTTTTTAGCAGGGAAGGAGTCTTGATAAAAGGGTGGAAGCGAACTTCTTATTGAATACAAATAAAAAAATTTAATTTTAGCATGGCTTGCCATCAAATGCACATTTTTAAACAGCTGTTTCAACATATTTTGCATCGATGCTTATGCTTTTTTAAGTTTTATACTATTGTGAGAAATATACAAAAATTTAATTTTATACAAATCAAAAATTACGAGGATTTTATAAGGTCAATGGTTTTTAAAAATCTCATTACAATGAAAGTTTATCTTTTTTTTTTAAATTTTGAGATGATTTTTGTTGTTGTTGTTGTTGATAACAAGTAAAAATTAAGGAACAGAGAGAGAAAGAGAGAGGACAGGGGTGGGGGTAGGGTTTCTTGAAAACTTTATAAATTTTTGGTGGCTGGGAAATATATCCAAAAATATGAAAAATAAAAACACTGAGTTGCGATTCTTTATCTAAAGGGCATTTCAAGGCAAAAAAGTATATATATATATATATATATATATATATATATATATATATATATATATATATATATATATATATATATATATATATATATATATATATATATATATATATATATAAGAACTATATTATACCATAAAGAACTTTATTACATCTACAAAAAGTATATATATATATATATTTATATTTTTCTGCTTACCTTAAGCTATCAAACCCTAAGTCAATATAGCAGCACTTCACTGCGAGTCAGGCTATTTGTCAGTCAATGTATGTACTGAAGCCCCAAGCAAAAGGCTATTTCTGTATGACATCAGACTGCTTACCTTAGTACGCAATACTATTTGTATATATATATATATATATATATATATATACATATATATATATATATATATATATATATATATATATATATATATATATATATATATATATATATATATATATATATATATATATATATATTATATATATAATGTTCTTAATCAATTATGATTAAGCTGGTCATACAGGGGCAAAAAGAAAACCTTAGTTGCCCATTTATTTAAACCTTTGAACCATATCAGCAAAATGGAAAAAAGTTAGATGTTCTTTTTGCCACAACATTATTTTTAAAAAAAGACCTTGAATGACAAAGCATTTTGAAAAATGTTGAAAGTGTCCTTAAAAAGTAAAATTTCTAGATGTAAAAAATGCAGATATAAAAGATTAGCAATGAATAAATAAATTACGAATCGCCAGATGAAGGTGGTCAAGGAAACTCAGAATCAGAAAGTTCTAACTAATGCAGTAACACTAACACAATACACTTATTCTATTAGTATTTAAATATCATAAAATAAAAAGTTCAATTTGTGAAGATATTAGTGTCTTTAAAAAAATATATTTTTTTTAATTGAAAATAAATTTTTAAAATTAATTAATCTTGTGTTACAGACTGACATGTTATGTTATAACTTATTTCAAAATTAGTATGACTATGATAAGTAAAAATAATCAATGTCTTGTCAAGTTCATAATAAAGAATATAGAAACAATAATTTGTTTATCTTCTTGACACAGGTACACTGCAAAAAAAGGCAGCACATTAAGATAGAGATGATATAAACTCTTTAAAGAATTTTCCACATCTCATGCATCCTTTGACTAGTTGAAGTAAAAAATCTATGATTGCGATTTTTGAAATTGAATTTTACTGTTGAATTTTGTAGAGTCTAAGAGGAATGAAAAATAACTTCATCAATATGGTAAGCAAACTTAAACTGTTGTATTAATCATGGCTTATTCCTTAATCAATAAAGGATGTAAGTCTCAGACTTTGCAATCTTTTCTCACATTGTATGTATTATGTATTTATATGTATATATATATATATATATATATATATATATATATATATATATATATATATATATATATATATACACATATATATATATATTTATAATATACAATTATGTTATAATATGTATATATATATATATATATATATATATATATATATATATATATATATATATATATATATATATATATATATAATACATGTATTATACATGTAATTTTATATATCTATATACATGATATATATAGATATATGTATTTTATATATATATATATATATATATATATATATATATATATATATATATATATATATATATATATACATATGTATATTATATACATATTAAGGGACTAATTATATGGGACCACTACAGGGCCGGTGCACTGTTGCTCTTATTATTAAAAACGTGTTTAAACACAATTTTAAAATATACCTACCCGAGAATCAGATCGAACAGTCAAGGCAAGCGACAACCGTTAGTGCAGCCGAAATATTTGTCTTGTTTTCGAAAATCGATGTTTGTGTCAAGTGCACGTAAAAGAAATATTTTCCATATAAGAAGTATTTCAGGAGAAAATTAGGGTAAACTGACCTATATCTGGGCGCGTTCTTATTCTGGCCGATTTTCAAAAGCTTTATAAACTCTTTAATACAGGGCTGCATTCTGTGCCGGCCTTAGCCTTCTTGCCGTCCTCGTATGAATTTTTTTTTGCCGCCCTTGAGAATTTATAAACTTGTTGGTAAATTACACGGAAAATAATAACAAATCCAATTCAAAAATAATACATTGCAATGAAATGCTGCATACAAAGAAACGTTTTTTATTTATGTTTTACACAAAATACATTTAATTTTTAATATTAATCTTTTGGGCCTTTTTATCACTAAAATCTTTGATTAGCGTAGAAAAATCAAGACTTTCAGCAATATCATTTTCGATCAATAGGGTTTCCAAACTTGAAAGTCTATCCTGCAATATTGTTGACCGCAGTTAGGTTTTTATAAGTTTCATTTTGGAAAGGCTTCAACCTCCACTTGCTACAGTGACATTTTAGAGTAACATTGACAAATTTTTCTAACAATACAGTGTATTGTTAGAAAAATTTGCATTGCAATCCATGTGTTTAGATAAATATCTTGCATTTTATGCTGTTTTATAAATTTTAAAACAATAATAGGAGTAATTTTATCCTTGAACATTTCAGAAAGAAAAAGTTTAATGCTCATTGCAAAAAAGAATACCATTAATGTCCGATTTTAGATTTACGGTAAGTTTACTTTGAAGGACTTAACATAATTTTAGAATTTCTTATCTTTTTTGAAAACTATCAACATTATACAAAAAACCCCAAACTTCTGAATAATTCTCCAACTGTGTAAATCTTTCTCTCATAGATATTAGAGTTGTGTCTAAAAGAGGATTGAAAAAATCCATTTCTAATTTTTTTTCAGAAGAAAATGAATAAATCCCATCTTGGGCTGGTTCGTCAAAATGGCGTTTTATTCGTATTATTCTTTTAAGTGGTTTAAAAACAAGCTTTACTTCTAATTCTATGGCCAAATCCTTTGATTTTATATTTACATGTTTAAAGCCACATTTTCTGTAGTTTTCTAAAAATGAGCAACAGATTTTCACCAATTTTGCTCATTAAGTGATATCCATGTCTTTCTCTTGAAAAGTTTTACTAACAATATTGACTTGAAAAAACACGTCATACCAGACAATTAAAGAGACAAGAAAGCTAAAATATTTCATTTGCTCTGCAAGGGTTATTGCTTCATGTGCAATTTTAGAATCACATCCTTCATTTTCTGACAATGCTATCAAAGCATCATGTATATCACCAACTTGATAACGAACGGTTTCGACACTACTTATTTTTGCTTCCTACAGCCCAGCTAGCCCATATACGTAGTTAAAACATTAGAACAATGTCGCGCGTTTCGTTGTCCCAACATCGGCTGCCAACGTTGTTTTTATATCATTATGGTTACAAAAGCGACGTCGCCAACAACTAAAAACCAATGTCGATAAAACGTTTATTTAAGTTGGAAAATGGTTATATTTTCTACGTTGATTCAACGTTTTATTTTATACGTTAGCCCAACATTGTATTTTAAGTTGGCACAACGTTGTATTTACGTTAATTCAACGTTGAACTTTAATTTGCAAAATATTGTATACAGTATTATTTGGAACTAAATTTTCTTTAAATTCTATAGTTTTGTATATTTATATATACAATATATATATATATATATATATATATATATATATATATATATATATATATATATATATATATATATATATATATATATATATATATATATATATATATATATATATTTATAGGTATTGTGGTTTATCCTCCTCTGGCTAGTTGCCATACAGAGGTCACATTACCAAGGCCCGCAAAGACAAATTCGGCTCCCCAAGGAGCGTCATAACCCACTCTACGGACCAAGAGTAAGTGAATTTGGGAAGAACGAAGATATGTTAGGGTGAAAGACAGAAGAAGTCGTGTTAGAAATATAGCATACAGAAAGCGGACAGGATTGCACACGATATTAGAAGGTGCAATACGTTACTATACACATAATTGGCTTAAGCCAAATAATGTATGCAATATATATATATATATATATATATATATATATATATATATATATATATATATATATATATATATATTATATATATATATATATATATATATATATATATATATATATATATGTATATATATATGTATATATATATATTAATTGGCTTAAGCCAATTAATGTATGCAATATATATATATATATATATATATATATATATATATATATATATATATATATATATATAAATATATATATATATATATATATATATATATAAATATATATATATATATATATATATATATATATATATATATATATATATATATATATATATATAATATAATATAATATAATATAATATAATATAATATATTTATATATACATAGGTATTGTGGTTTATCCTCCTCCAGCTAATTGCCATACGGAGGCCACATTACCAAGGACCGCAAAGACAAGTTCAGCTAATAAATAGCTGAACTTGTCTTTGCGGTCTTAGGGTGAAAGACAGAAGAAGTCGTGTTAGAAATATAGCATACAGAAAGCGGACAGGATTGCAAGCGATATTAGAGGGTGCAATACGTTACTATACTCATAATTGGCTTAGGCCAAATAATGTATGCAATATATATGTATATATTTATATGTATATAATTTATTATAATATACTATATTTATATATACATATATAGATTCGTTAAACATAATCTCGTAAGTTAATTAAACTTGATCATCACAACAAAAATCATGTTTGTGTTGATTGTGGTATGATATTTTAATAATCACGGAAGATTTTATTTAAGTTATATAATTTCGAAATAGCAATGTTCGGTCGCATACATTGGATCAACGTTGGGTTTAGTTCGTAAAAACAATCAACTTTTTGCAATCTATTTACATACATTGGAAAAACGTTAATTTATATACATGTCGAGATATATACATTGGATCAACGTTGGGTTTAGATCGTAAAAACAATCAAGTTTTTGCTATGTTTTTACATACATTGAACCAATGTAAATTTGCCAGATGTTTTTAGTTCCGTCGGTAATAATTTTATCATTAACCAAATGACATTGGATCAATGTTGGTTTTGCATTTGAAAAAAGAGCCGACGTTCGCGATGGTTTTGCATACGTTGGCCCAATGTAAGTGTGCTAGCTGGGAGAGTTTCTTTAAATGCAAAATTTTAACGCGATCAATTAAAACTTTCCGTCGGCTCACTCAAGCTGAGTGCAGTCATAGTTTAAATTTGGTAATAAGTGACTCTGCACGGTCTTCAGTAAAATCTATAACTTTATTCAATAACCCTAGCAGAGCAATTGAAAGATTTTAGCTTTCTTGTCTATTTAATTGTCTGGTATTACATGGTTTTTCAAGTCAATATGAGAATAAAGTTATAGATTTTACTGAAGAAAAATTCTGGGACACTAGTTTCCAGAGTAACTTCTTGTGGACTGATTAAGAAGGCTTGGAACGAACCTGTTACCTCAGATAATATTATTACATACGTTGGCACACTTACGTTGGGCCAACGTATGTAAAACAAACGCGAACGTCGTATATTTTTTCCAATGCAAAACCAACGTTGATCCAATGTCATATGTTTAATGATGAAATTAATACCGACGGAGCTAAAAACAGCTTGCACATTTACATTGGTCCAACCTATGTAAAAACATCGCAAAAAGTTGATTGTTTTTACGATGTAAACCCAACATTGATCCAATGTTATTACCCGACGTTGGTTTAATGTGAATAAACCAACGTTGAATTAATGCATCTAAAAAAATCGCAAAAAGTTAATTGTTTTTATGATCTAAACCCAACGTTGATCCAATGTGTAAAACCGAACGATGACTCAATATATATAAATCAATGTTGATCCAATTTTATTAACCCGTCGTTGATTCAATGTGTATATACATTAAATCAACGTTGATCCATATACAATGGAACAACGTTGGATTTTATACAGTTGATCAACGTTGCGCTTGCATCGAGAAAAGGCAGATATACAAATATAATAATAAATTTGCATAGTTTATGAGAAATATTTTTCATTCAAATATTTCAGTTGATTATGGAAATTTTTTTTGCTAATACATTTTGCTCTTTTTTCATGAAGTATTTTGCCTCAAGTAAAACAAACATAAATAATGGCTGTTTAATCAGACACTGATTCACAAAATATATGTCGTAAACAATGTCAATTCTTCATAAAAATGTATGAAATATGTATGTAAAAATACATAAAAATAAAAAAAAATTAAAAAAAAAAAAAAATACATACATTCTCGAAAATCTGTGGCAATAGACTAATTTCAACCCGGTCAAACGAGAGACACTTTTCCTACCCGTCAAAAGCGGGGGTCTCGGAATATTATCACCGAAGGAGCAAAGCAAATGATATATTATTTGCATGTTTCTCTGTAGCTTTCGTAACGTGGTGTTTATGTAAAAGTTCTGTACCTTATTTTTTTTTTACTTAATAAATTCTTTATTTCCTGAAAATAATTAGTTAATCTTAATCAACTTCTTCTGAAACCTCAAAAAGTTTTTGTAAAAATATAAGCATATATTTTTACAATAACTTTTTGACTCAAAAGTCAAAAAGTTATTGTAAAAATATAAGCGTATATATTACTAAATATATTTGAAAAAATCAATGTAAAACTTATGTGGAAAACCTTTTTTAATATTTTAAACGAATATTATAAAAATATAAAAACGGAAATATTTTTTTAAAAAACGAGAAAAAACTAAAAGTAATTGTATAGAGGATATGCTTATTTATTATGCAGAAATAGTATATAAAATTTGTAAATAATTATTATTTTGTAATAAAAAAATAAATAAATAAATACTTACAGTAGTTTCTCGCATAATTACGCACCCAATTAGTTGGGCATCGCACTTAATTGCGCGTTGAGGCCCAAAATATTTTTGTTTATATTTTTTTATCGTTATCGTTGAAAGTGT